TGTATGGACAATTGCATGGTTCTTAGCAGTCTAGGCACATGTCGTCGTTCGCATGCACAACAAACCCCAAACCCTAGACCCTAAAGCTCAAAGGATACCATGAGACTGTTTGGATTTCAGGTTTTGGGGCTTTGGCTAAGAGGTGGTTTGGGGCTTTAGGGTTTATATGGTTTAGGGTTCTGCAATTCTGAAGGAGTGCACGAAACCCTCTATCCCTAAACCCTGAACCCTGAATCCAATAATTTCACAAGCCAAAACTGGGAGAGTAAGGTTTGGGGCTTAAGCGTAGTATAATAAGTACCGCTTGTGATGTCTGGCTGTAGTCCTGCAGTATGTGTTTAATGTTTTTTTTAGGGGTAGGTACGCTTGTTATGGTAGCATGAAAACCCAGGGTTAAGAATTCGTATACTTGCATCACCTGCCATTACATCGTGTCCTTATAGGAACCAGAAGCAGGGTAGGGGGTGTTTTCGGGCGTTTTTTCGATTCTTTTTATATGTGCAAAGTTAGGTATTTCATCCCTAGGTGATAGCATGTATTACATGTGATATATGAATCTGTGTGTTTGGTATGATGAATAATTTTGATATCAGCTATTATTATCAGACCAAAAAATTTCATACATATACACTCATATATGGTGCATTCGTTTTGTGTAGGGGTGGGATGTATTTAGTTGTCGGTATGAAGCAGCGGGTATGAGTGCTCTACTAGTCTACGTTTTACCTTGATCTGTTTGTGCTCTTAGAGAGACCAGGGACGATAAGGGTTGACAAGGGCCTTGCTATATTATTGTAAACATGTATGTTTAAATACATATAAAAAATATTGTGCTCAGTGATTTTTTTGAGCTTGGGGTTGCAGTGTGTCAAAAGGTGTTTCCAGTAAGGTACCTATCACGTTGTCATTGAGGTAGGTAGGTTTAGGGTTTAAGTGTAAATAATAAGTACCACTTGGGATGTTTAGCTGTAGTCCTGCAGTATGTGTTTAAGTAACATTGGTAAATTGGTTAATATAGTTATTTCAAGATGCCACATACTGATAACACGCGCTGCAGTATCCGTGCTATTGTGGTTGATATAATTATCATTCCTTATGTTTTTTTTTAGGGGTAGGTACGCTTGTTATGGTAGCATGACAAATGAAAACCCAGGGTTAAGGATTCGTATACTTGCATCACATACCATTACATCGTGTCCTTACAGGAACCATAGCAGGGTAAGGGGGGTGTTTTCGGGAGTTTGGTTTGTGTTTTTTTTATATCCACAAGTATTTATTTCATACTTAAGACAAATAGGTGTTAACATATATTATATTTGATATATTAATATGTGTGTTTGGTATGATAAATATTATTTTGGATATTAATAGCTAATATCATACCAGAAACAGTTTCATACATATACACTCATATATGGTGCATTTGTTTTGTGTAGGAGTGGGATGTATTCAGTTGTCGGTATGAAGCAGTGGCGGTGTTTACATTTGCACTATTCTTTACAGTTTCGTGCTGCTTTCATTGTTTATTTTTTTTTAATCAGAAAACATGCATGTTTAAATCCTTTATGAAAAATATTGTTCTCAGTAAGTTTTCCTGAGCTTGGGGTCACTGTGTGGCAAAAGTTGTTTTCAGTAAGGTTTCTATCATGTTGTCCTTCAGGTAGCTAGCAAGCAAAAACATGAGCGACAAACTAAGAGTATGGGTATGGGCTTCAAATAAAACCAGTATGTAACAGCATTTGGGGTTCTATTTTGCTCAGTACTAGCTCAAGGTTATCAGCCAGTTAGGGATCTATTTTGCTCGAGCAGATCTGCTGTCAGTTTTAGCCAGGCCAAATTACCTCAGAGTATTTTGAAATACTCTGAGGTAATTTTGAGCTTTGAAACTGCAAAATTACCTTTTCAGACGGTTTATTATTACAATTATCCAAAAAGGTAATTCGCAATTTTAGAAGCCCAAAATTACCTCAGAGTATTTCAAAATACTCTGAGGTAATTCTGAGTGGTTGAAGCCTCAAAATTACCTTTGAGTATTTTGAAATACTCTCCTAAGGGGCTGTGGTGCTGCTTTGCTTACACCAGCAGGGTTCTCGTGGAAATGTCCTTTGTCACTATGAATGTTTGTATACAGTAGCAATGTGTTTACATACTCAATCAATAAGTGTATCATTATTTTTTTTTGGTATGCAATAAATGTTTCTTGATATGATCATCATTCGGCCTAATAAAGCACTGTAACTTTGTGTATGATACATACTGCTTATGTGGGAGCCTCATACCGTTTGATTCACTGCACTGTTGATGTTCATTTGGGTCAAGTATAGAGACCCAATCCCTGTTCTCCACCAGTGACAAACGGTATCACAAACGCTATGAATCTGTGAAGTTGTTGTTCTGGTATGTATATAATTTACCACAGTATACAATCTATAAAGGTACATTGGGAATCATACCAAAACAACTTATTTATATATTAAAGTATTATGGTTGGTAATGCTGGGAGATATAGTAGGATTCGTATGTTCAGGGATATGCCATAGCAGAAAAGATGTAGAACGGTTTAAAAGACAATATCACCATTAGTCACCATCCACTAGCAATGGTAGTCTAGTAGTTGTTGCCGTCCAAACAATACAGAAGAATATACACATATACATATATGTATATATATATCAATAGTTCATACCAGCCATACCAGACATAGCAGCAAAATCAAACACTTCCCTTTTGTTGTGTAATTCAGTACTTCTGGTATGATTCACAATATAACCAGAAGCTTTTATGCATTGCATACCATGAGACATTTTGTGCATAACAAACGAAAAGTTGAATTTTAATTTCCCCAATTCAAAACCACACTACTCAACAGTTTTACAGCATGACTAATTGTAGTGGATAAATCGTGTTGGAACAAACTGTTTACGTAGCCTTTTCTATATCAATTTATAATCGTATATTAACCAAAACACGAACCATACCCAAAACCACGTTGACACCAAACATTAACATGTGTTGTGTAGTTGCATTCTTCTGGTATGATTCGTAATAAAAGGCTCCTGATGCCGACACATTGCATACCATGATAAATTTCATACATACACACGACAAACTTGAGATTATCCGACTGGCAGTGCTATGTAGTTCCATACTTCTGGTATGATTCATCATTAAGGTTTTAAAGTCTACACGTTTCATACCGCGATAAAATTTATGCATACATTTTAACGAACCGGAATGTCAGTGGTGTGGGGTTTAAAAATAGAATTTTGCAAATTTATCATGGTATGAAACGTGTAGACTTTAAAACCTTAATTTAATGATGAATCATACCAAAAGTATGGAACTACATAGCACTGCCAGTCGTGTAATCACAAGTTTGTCGTGTGTATGTATGAGATTTATCATGGTATGCAATGTGTCGGCATCAGGAGCCTTTTATTATGAATCATACCAGAAGAATGGAACTACACAACACATGTTAATGTTTGGTGTCAACGTGGTTTTGGGTATGGTTCGTGTTTTGGTTAATATACGATTCTAAATTGATATAGACAAGGCTACGTAAACAGTTTGTTCCAACAGGAATTAATCCACTACAATTAGTCATGCTGTAAAACTGTTGAGTAGTGTGGTTTTGAATTGGGGAAGTTAAAATTCAACTTTTCGTTTGTTATGTACAAAATATCTCATGGTATGCAATGTATAAAAGCCTCTGGTTATATTGTGAATCATACCAGAAGTACTGAATTACACAACAAAAGGGAAGTGTTTGATTTTGCTGCTATGTCTGGTATGGCTGGTATGAACTATATATATATATATGTATACTACGACTACTACTAGGACGGCGAGTACTGCTAGACTACTATTCCTACTGCCACTGCTACTTTATCGATTACGACTGCTGCCAGCAGGACTACGAGGGTTTCAGGTGGAGCTTGAACATGTGTTGTGGGACAGGCGTCGCTCCTGTTCCTTATTATATCGCTGCCGAGCAGGGCAGGCGAGGCGCCTTTGCAGTGCAAGGGTTGCGATCCTGCGCAGTGCTGCTTGTGACAGGGTTTCCGAAGGGTTCTTGTTTGATGTTTGCTTGATTTTTGCCAACGAGCTGCTGCT